GACAATTGCTTTAGGTGTTATTTCATTAAAGTAGACATTCATTGAAAATCACAAATATGGCCAATAATGTATCACTGGAAATCAGGAAGCTTATAGTTGACAATCAGATTAGTTTTAGGTCAACTGTGTATCAGACAATAACAAAATTAACACAAATAAAAGTACCTCTCAGGATTTGGGATACGAGCGCTTCTCCAGAAATTTAGCGATGTTTTGATCCCTGATGTCACATCAGGGACCAGTCCTACGTAAGCAGATGACGTCCTATAACTAATGAACTACATTTTCAATAGAACTATTTCTCAATAATAAGAGTTTCATTAATTTAAAACATGAACAGATTTCACACTATTAAACAAGTGAAGTGATGCTGATGCTGATGCTGATAATTATAATCCTTTGCTTTATAGTAGACATTCAGGGCAAGGATAAATGATCAATTAAAAAACACTGAAATACTCAAATTGAAGAGCCCAGAAAAAACAGAATGGATTTTGTTTGTTCCTGATTGAAACAAGTGTTGGTGTTTGCAGTTGAATGGCATCTTTTTATGAGAAAGGGTGGGGGAGGACGAATATAGAAAGAAAGGGGAAGAAAGATAGCAATATCACAAACAAAAGTCACAAAAAAAAAGACAAACTGCCATTGGTGAAATATTCATTTTGCTCATTCGAAAAAAGTTACATTATGACTTTCCTGATCTGAAATATAATTGGTATCTCAATTTTCCCTAATGTCAAAAACCTCATATAAACTTTCAAATATTTCCCAATGGATGTCATGGCTGTAGAGCTGTTGTTGCAAAGCTGAAAATAAAAACCCAGAAAAATGAAAGAAAGTTTGAATTTTTGAAATTATCACATTTTATCTGAGAGTGTACTGACATTTTCCTTTGCTATATAGTTCCTATAAAAACATTACTCTCCAAAACAACATGTTCTAAAAGGAGCTGAAAATAGTATAATTTAATTCCAGACAGTAATTCACTAAATGGTATTACAAACTTAACAACCTATTCCCTTGCTATAAAATCCTACTACTCTTCTTCATAATATGTTCTAAAATAAGAAAAATAATATTTTCCCAAAGATGTGATTTTTTTGTGTCATCTGGGAGCAATTTTCTGCACAGGGTGACCCAAAAATGCAAGAAGAACTCAATTTAGAATTTGTCACCATTTAGTCAAACAATATCAATGGAAAGAAGGGATCCATATTTTTATTTTATAAACTCCTACATTTGGAAATCTTTTTGTAAGGGTTACACAACAATGACAGATAAATTGATGTACTTGTCGTAGGCTCAGAGCATTATCACACACAATTTCTTTTCTTGTTGTTAACAAATCAAGCAAACCGATTATGACCACTTCTTAGCATGCATGATGGGTAAAGCGATAAGTTTGTTTTGATGCATCCTTCGCCCGAGCAAGACCCTGAACGACGTCGTCGTAGGGCGTTGCTATTTATGGAAGCTACTTTTCTGCGAGTCAGGTTTCTATTCTGAGATCAACATCAACAAATTTCTAGCCTGAAACCCACTTGAAATCTCAAACGGATGACGGGCAAGTTGTTTTCATCTCCCGTCTGGTTGCTACGACGTCCAGAGGGGGTTTGCACAGTCCAATATTTTCAAGGAAATAGTTTTCGTGAACAAAATGTTCTCGAAGATTGCAGGCATTGCATGACGCCATTTTCAAAACTCTCATACAGTGGATGTTTTATTATTGCTATAAAACTGTTAGGAGTCAATCTGCATGCTTAATATGCACACTTCTGTAAAGACACAAATAAATGCTCCCTCAAAAAGAACCAGCTGACGAGCAAACATGTTTTGTCAAAAATGCTGTTGACTTTTTTTTTTTGGAGCATTTTTTCTTCTTCATTCGTATAAAAAGGACTCCACGAGAAATCCAGTTAGAAAATTTCAACCATTTTCATGAATCCAGGATCAGCTTAAATGTGAAAAAGGTTTCAATAAGAAATCCAGTTGGAGAATGTTACCCAGCATTCTCTTGATTCCAGGATCTGCTTAAATATGAAAAAGGTCTCAATAATCCAGTTAGCGATTTTAACCATTCTCATGAATCCAGGATCTGCTTAAATGTGAAAAAGGTCTCAACTAAAAATTGAGTTAGAGAATTTTAACCTTTCTCATAAATCCAGAATCTCCTTATATGTGAAAGAGGTCTCATTAAGAAATCCAGGTAGAGAATTTTAACCATTTTCGTGAATCCAGGATCTGCTTAAATGTGAAAAAGGTCTCAATATAAAATCTAGGTAGAGATCTCTTTTTCCCCAAGTAATTTGGGCTTTCGGTCTTGATTTTTTCATTGCATTTTCTGAGACTGCAGAGCCACTCGCAACATGAAGCTAATTCCAATCTCACACAATCTCTGTAATAAATATATTGATAATCTAATCCTCGTTAACCTTTACAGCTGACAAAAACACGAGGTAAAATGGCTTACAATGGTTCTTCTTGTTTATCAGTACAGAATCAGGATTCTGATTATTTTCCTTGTACGGTAAATTAGATATCGTCAGGTACCTTACATAATCACTACTAGAATCTTTAACAGAATCCCCCTGGCAAATTAAGGAACTTTCTAACGAAGACATACACCTAAATAAAGATGCACATGCGTTCAAGTATAAACAGAAGAAGAAAAGCCCAGGAAAGCCACCTGAGCTACATTTGCAATTACAGCTAATCTTGAGCTGTCGTATTAGAATTCCATCTTGCGAGAAACTGACTCGGAGTATATCCGAATAGTTTTTTTTTTTACCCTGAACCAGGTGGGTTGCTTAGACCAACACAATAGAGACAAAATAACTAAATCCTGTTTGAAATCAGATTCAATGAATAGCGAGGCTCACATTTGCATTGATGAGGCCAGGTGTCAGTTTGCAGGCACAAACTCCTTGTTAGTATAAAAATCAACCTTAAACAGGGAGATGGGAGGGATTCTCCCTGCCTTAAACAAGGGAAACGCTCTAGGCGGTTTCGTCTGCATTACACAATTCGATATGATGAAAAATTGATGTTGGGACATCATTTATAGGCAGGGTGGCCCATTAGCAGGCCCCCTAAAATGAAATCCTCTGAATATAATCAGCACTTTGAAGTGAATATTGACTAAGAATCATCAGAAGATTTATTTACTACTACTTGTACCAAGATTGATAAATTTAATGAAATATGTACAAATAACAAAAAAATATTTATTTATTCTCATATTAAGTTGTTAAAACATTATCCATTATCCTGAAATGACCTTTGACCTTGACTTAGTGACCTGGAATTTGTGTCATATGATTTGTGATATTTAATAACTCATGGGGAAAACGTTTCATGGAATTTCAACATTCACTTATGAAATTATGTTAAAAATTCATTAAAATACAGTTAAGTTTATTTATTCTCATATTAAGTTGTAAAAACATTATCCAAGTCAATGACCTGAAATGACCTTTGACCTTGACTAAGTGACCTGAAATTTTACTCACATCATTGCGGATACTTGATAATCCTTTAGTCTTAAGTTTTATTGAATGAGAATTTATACTTTAAAAAATTATGTTAAAAATTCAAACACTTAACCTAAGGTTACGTTTTTGATGTTGCCGCCGCCGTCGCCACTGCCAAAGCAGCTCCTATGTATTTGGTTAAAAATTGACAAATAATTCAAATTTGTCAGCAGGCATATTCACTTCTTGATTTTCAGTACAAGAGATGTTTTTTTCTTTTTCTTTTCATTTCATTTCATTTCATGACATAATTCCGGTGGGGGGGGGGGGGGCAGCACATATCTTCAATAAAATATACTGCAATTTATTTGCAGTTCAAATGAAAATAATAACTTGTTTAAATGACACATTAAAAACCTGACTAAGCCCAATATTCATGGTATTGCTGCTCATAAAAGATGACATTTCCATCCAAAGAATTTGGAAAGAAACTCATTTGCGCAACTTTTGCCACAAAATTCAAGTACATCACCATGGCGACCCGGAAAGACATGAAAGAATTCAAGTGCTGGGGAAAATGATGATTTTGTGAATAAAGAAATGGAGCTCATGAAGGGAAAACGGTGGAAACATTTCTCTGTGTTCGAGATATTAAAATGTCGGGTACTTTGCTCTAATAAATAAGTGCTCCACTTTCTACATTTTCAAGATCTAAAGAACGGTCTGAAAGGAGATGCAGGTATCCACAATTCTTAACGTTCCATTCTTGCTCGGAAGAAAAGCGACTTTATGTGTAGTAGTCTGTGTCCTTGTTAGCAATTACAACAAAATAAAAAAGAAAGAAAAAAGCAGGGCATGTTTGAAATGTCAGATGAATGTCAGAGGATGAGAAAATTGCAATCAGACTGGGTGGGTCTACTTGCATTTTACTGTAACATAATGAAGTAGGATGCAAATGATTGTGGTCATAGATATTTCTGTTCGCTAGCGGGGTGCAAGATCGATGATGTCTGTGATTTTCTATCAAAATTGGTACACAAATACATGAAATAACAACTCAGTGAATAAAAGTAATGAAAACTGGCTCCAAAATTTCTGATAATAAAGCACAAATTATGAACTGAAACTCTTGCAAGCAGATGAAGAAGAAAAAAGAGAAAGTAAAAATGGAATTATACATGTACCTGACAGAAAAATACCTTATAAAATGTATCATAATATAATGACAGGTATACAATAGTATGTACAAGAAACTAGACTAGACATATTTCAATATATTATCCACTTGGAGTTAGAAGAGTGTTCACTTATATACTTCAAAACAGAGCAAATTATATAGAAAAATATGTTATGGAATAAAACATCAAAATCAGATTATTATAAAAAATGATTGTTGAAGTATTTGCAGATACTTCTCCTTGTTGGGTCTGCTGACAGCTAGAAGGGTGTTAACTTAACTCTATTGATTAATGTCCTTACAGCTCTTAGCAGACACATTATTTTGTAATTTGACAATTTTGAAAAGGATATAGAATCTTGAACTGCTTTCCCAGTTCTTCTGATGTCATGATCCATTTGTGCATGAGAAACAGGACCCTCGGAAATGCCGTCTCCTCCACTAACGAACCATGCTCATCTGAAAAGACAAAAACAAACAAACAGACACACCCATTTTTAATGAGAGAATCGCAATGGGTATATTGGTATAATCCCTCAATTTTTAGATATTAACTATGATACATACAAAATGATACATACAAATAGATATTTGGTTTTAAACAAACCGGTATAATAATTCGTCTGCAATATACACTTTTATCCAATTTACTCTCAGACTGCCTAAAACTGTAAACATATTTTAATCCGTTGTTTCATTAGGTCATTAGTGTTCCCTTCTTTTATATATATTTTTTTAATACAAGTTCATGCCCTTGCCAATTTTTTGACTTGGGTCTTTTTCTCCAAAGTAATGTGCAATATCTAATTCGAAATTACACTATATTGTTATGTAAATACTCATTTTAATTTTATTTGAACAACTTTCTCGATCTAGATGACTGCTGTCATTACATTTATATTAAAGGGAAAACGGAATCTCTATTCATTTTGACTTTTACGGTTTAATTTCATCCCATCCCATAGGTTTTTTTTTAATGCTTAATTTCATTTTTTGTAATAGAAATGTTTGTTTAGCAATTGTTAAATACTTTCTCAACTCTTTCACTCAAACAACTTCCTTTTTTCTTCTCCATTCTCTCCTTCCCACCGTCTTGGTTCTTCAACATGAAAGTATATTATAACATTACTGTATAACTTTGTTTCGCAATTTCGATTTCATCTTACAATGACTTACAATATGTATTTTAGTTTTGTATATGTTTATATCTCTCTATATTTTTAATTTGTTTGTAAATTGAACATTTTCAGCCGGCGAGCTGCTTGTTTGATGTGATTTCTCAATAAACCAAACCAAAAAAAAACATATATAAGAGGATTAAAAGGCCAACAACAACAACAATACTAATATAGATGCTGCTTAATATAATATATATGATTTGTATGGCCTCTAATCCACTTGAAATCAATGCAGTAGTGCAAAAGATGATACTAAATAAAAGCACTATACATAAAAGTAACACTCGAGTACGATACAACATATAAAAAAAAAGGGAAAATAAGAATGGAGAGCACAACTAATTATAGGCCGATTCATACAGATTTTTTGTAAAGATTATTTTAACACTTCAACTGATCTGTTTTTTCTAATAAACAATGAACACAGGCTTTTCATATCATGTGATAACAAATATAATCAGGACAATGTTTGTTTTTTTTTTTTGGGGGGGGGGGGGGTGGGGTTCTCCAGCTGTATACATCTCATACATGATAAAAATACCTGCAAACCAAATACAACTTTTACAAAAAAATTATACTGCCAGTGTAAAAAATACCTGGGTAAGGGATAGAAGAGTGATGTAATAGCAAAGCTACGAAAGGATTCTGAACAATTTAAAAAGCTCTTATTATAAAGACAAAGAAATACATTTATATTTTTTCTTCCAGGGAATCTCAATTTTATGATGCTGAACCAAAAAATGCACTCATGATTTTTTTTTGTTCACTGGATAATTGCCTGTGTAAGGATACTCCTTGTGTAGTAAATGTAAATTAAACATTTCAAACATAGATAATACATATCACTGAAATAAAAATGAATGGATGCAGAGCGAGATAGTGCCCCCATTACTAGTATTCCCTTTATCATAGCTTAATCATCCAAAGAGTCATTTAGACAAATTAATCATCGCGCATCAGCCAGACAGTCCTCGTTTGATAAGACACATCGCTAACGTGCTGGTCGACCTCATCAGTACAGACGTGCGGCGTGGATGGAGCCTCAAATCTGTGCCTCGCTCATGCCCTGGATAGCCAACAATAAGCGTCCATCATCGCTCCGACGCTGACAGAGTCACGTATTTGATCGCTCGTCATCTCTTAATGACTCGTAATAACTATTTGATTAAGGCGCTGATATTAATTGATCATGGAATACATTTGGAGCGACGTAAATCAGCCATCAGTAAGGCAGTTTAATAGTGGTTGACAGAGTATACTATTGCCTGGCAAGGGGAAGGATATTGACGGAGAGAGAAGCTAGAAATAAATTTAAGATAAATATGATTCTGACTTATTTAATTAAATTACATTTACATTCAAACCTGTCTATTAAGGTCACACAAGGTAAATTTAACAGTTGCAAACTGCAGACAGGTGGCCTTTCTAGACAACACTTTCAGCATATATTTCTAGCTAGAGAGATAGAACATGTATAAATGACTACGGTAAACACTGATGTGGAAAATCTAGTGAAAATCCTCCATTTTAGTCATTTTAAGTCATGCAGTAAAAAGATCTTCATTCAAACATACATAGTTTGCTATATCATATGTCAAACTATTATTTAGACAATACATTTTGTCTGTTCAGAGCCATAAAGGCATTAACTCTTTGTTTAATACAGTATTATATGTTTAATGTTAATGACCTTTTGCCTCCAAACAGATCATTTAATCATGAATTACAAATATATACATTTAACAACTGAATTATTCATAACCCTTGTAAATTTGATGCTTTTGTGTTTTTTGTAACTATAAAATGAAAGGTTGACTGGTTGAATAAGGGCCTTTGATAAATACTTTTACATATGTAAGCTTTAATATGTCACATTCTCTAGAATCACAATCAGGACAAATCTATTGTTCACTACATTAAAAATTACAAAACTTGGTAAAGGTCTGAATAATTTAGTTGTTCACTGTAAATTCTATTTTCAGTAAGCATGCAATATGAAAGTATTTGTAGACACATGTATAGTTCTATAAAATTATGCGAAAATTCCACTATCACTCGTTGTGGTTTTGTCTCATCATAAAGTAAAACAGTGTGTTTCCATGAGTTTTGTTTTAACAAGGAGAAAATGCTGCCAACTGAAGGATTTCAGTTCAACAGTGATTTAATCTTTACAGTGGTTTACAGATTAAGTGCATTTCCTTTAATCCAGAGTGGACATAATCACACAATCAGGAGAGAGAGAGGGAGGGAGAGAGAAGAGACAGAGAGAAAGAGTGAGTGAGAGAGAGAGAGAGAGAGAGAGAGAGAGAGAATCAAAGCGTTCGATACATTTTATAATGGAACTCATAATTTTACAGTCAAGGTTACATTCACATCTCAATCTCAAATGAATGTACAATTTAATCATTTGATTTATACATTTATCTAATGTAATTTATCCAGGGTAGCTTTATTGGCATTTCATAGCACTTTTATCCTAAGGAAGCCCTGGAATCTCTCATGGCAACACTATTTTGGGGTGTGGTTTTATCATAGTGTTTTTTTGTTCTGGTCTCGTTGATGTACCAAATTGCATCAAATCCACGAATTACAAAATTCTTGAATTTATATTACAATATTTGAATATGGGTAAAACTGTAACTTTCTAAAAACACTAAATTACGCCTCTAGCTCTCTCTTTCTTTCTTTCTTTCTTTTTTTCTCTCTCTCTCTCCTCTCTTTCTTTCTCTGTCTCTCTCCCTTTCTCTCTCTCTCTCTCTCTCTCTCTCTCTCTCTCTCTTTCTCTCTTGAATTCAAACCACTATTCTTTGACAAAGTAGCCATTAATTCCTCTGTTCTCTTAATAACACTCACCAAAGCAATCCACGCAGGTATTGGCTAGTTTGTCCATGGGAGCGCTCCGCAGGTTGAGACCAGCGATGGCGCTCTTATCATCTTCCATGGTGTCAAAGGTCGGCGAGAGCGGTTTCTTACGCCGCGGGCTGCTGGCTTCTTGCATCATGACTCCTATACCTGGACAGGATGATATAATAATTGAAATGATTGAGTTGAATAAAATCGTCCCAAACTGTATCCAATCTATAGCTTTATATATAGATTCATACCTTTACAGGAGAAACCGCATCGAATAAAAAAATGCATGAAATGCTAACAATATATACACTCTAATTAGCTTTCCAAGTCAATTCATTGAATAAATGCCATAGCGCCTTTCCTTGAAGTCACAAAGTGCTCACAATTTGTTCCATCACATAAGCTACACTGTAGCTTAAACTCAGTTTGTTGTCTTTAAAGCAACAGCTCAGCAATACATGCGCTCTTAAAAAATAAATTTTGGTACTTTTATTTACCATAAGAACCTTTTTCCCTCATTGCCAACATGATCGACCATCGATGACATTTTCACAAGAATTTCTACCTTTACACTACGGGGTCAAGCTACATGAGTTGATATAAAACTGATGATAAAGCCAATACTTTCCTTAGATATTGCTGTATTAGGGTACACCTGACAGTGAGCATTTCATAGGAATACAAATATATATACCAAGGAGGATATCTTTGGATATACATGTCTATTGCCTGCACAGTGCCAGAAGGGTGTTAAATCTGATTAATTTTACATATTAATACCCACCTCGCTCTAGAACATATGAATATATACCCACATTTTTCGATAATATACTTGTGATTGAACCTGAAAAATATTGCTCAATGCTTCATCATTGTACATTACTGACAAGCCTGAAATTAAAGCGCTCTGTTAATGAAACAAATGATTAAATCTGGTACACGATGGCGAGCATATCTATCTTAGAAGTTGATATAACCTTGCTTTCCACCTAGATAAACGAATCAACATGCTCTTCTTCTGTCCGTGCCTGCGTACTTATCAGATTCCGATGACCTCAATTTGAAATGACGTTGAAACAATGGCTTACAGAGGAGTTCAACGGTCTTTGCTTACACACAAGATATGCCAGGCATCACCGAGGAATCTCTACTTATCAGCAAGTACAAGCATCAGCATCCTTTCCATACCCTGAGATGCCTTTAGATTTGCTACAAGACTTTTGAACATATCTGTGGGTGGATAATTGCTTTGTGAGTGCCTCGGAATGTTAGATTGCTGTTGTGTTTATCAATGATTAAATTGAATTGAATTGAAATGAGTATTTATTGTCCATATTCTGGAAATTTGCCTTTCCCCCGGAATAAGTATACAATTTGTGAAGTTATGAAAACCAGGTATTGACAAGGAATTATCATCTGCTCAAGAACCATAATGATGTGAACTGATGTTATTGCAGCATTAACAAACATTTGACTCTGAGGAGATGCTGTCATCTTTAAATGTTGTATCCTTTTTAGGGCAAACTTCATCGTTGGAGGCATCACTTTATAATGTCCAACATATTCAGAGAAATATTGCCTGTTCTATGGTGGCCTTCATAATTAAATGTTTTATAATGGTTTACTTCGGACTGCAACTCTTATAAATCTGGTAAGAAATGCAGCATCTTGAACAACTGGATACCTCTTGATATTTGAAATTCTCTAAACCAACTGAAACTGCTCTAAACAACACAACACTGACCCAAACTGGCCCACATATTGCCCAAGCAATGTTACCACAGGAGACTAAAGATATCGCAGATAATATTTGCCAACCAATATGAACAGTATAAATTTGCAGATTACAGATTCATTATTTATATATGAACAGAAATATCATCTGATTGAAATGATTTTTTTTCACTTTCTGCCAATGATACCATCTCCAAATGCAACAAATCTTGAACCTCCCTTCTCTTCTCTTTATATTTTATCAAAACCCACTTTCAAATGGAATGTACTATTGTTATCATAATCATGATCATCAACATCATCACATTAAATCATCAACATCTTCATCACCAATATTATCATAATCGTCATCTTAAATCATCATCATCATCATCATCATCATCATCATCATCATCGTCATCGCCGTCGTCATCATCATCATCATCACATTAAATCATCAACATCTTCATCACCAATATTATCATAATCATCATCTTAAATCATCATCATCATCATTATCATCATCATCATCATCGTCATCGTCGTCGTCATCATTATCATCATCACATTAAATCATCAACATCTTCATCACCAATATTATCATAATCATCATCTTAAATCATCATCATCATCATTATCATCATCATCATCATCGTCATCGTCGTCATCATCATTATCATCATCACATTAAATCATCAACATCTTCATCACCAATATTATCATAATCATCATCTTAAATCATCATCATCATCATTATCATCATCATCATCATCGTCATCGTCGTCGTCATCATTATCATCATCACATTAAATCATCAACATCATCCTCATCGTCATCATCAACATCATCATCTCATCATCATCATCATCATCGTCATCATCACGACCATCATCATCTCTACATCATCATCCTCACTATCCACTTAAATATCACTATATGCATAAAACAAATACTGCACGGTGCTAACATTAAGGCTAGTCGACGACGACGTCTCAAGATAGACAATCTCCCTTACCAGTCCCTCTCAATGCATCAAACCACTGAGTGCCAAGGTCATTGCATGTATTTCTCAACATCAATTCCACATGAACGAGCAACGGTGCGGACTGCATCCCCCACGCTAATGCCCCGACGATCCCCTTATGCATATGAGATGAGCGATTCAGAGTTAGGCTCCTTGTCATCCCGTTTGTGAAGAGATAAACATTTCACAGAACCACGCAATTTCGTTTATCGCTATTCCTTCAGATGTGTTTTCCTTTTGTTATGCCTCAGTCACACCTTTGCGTACTTGGCTTGCGTATTGCTGCGTATTTATGGCAAGCCGTTTTAACATTCCTTTTTCTTGATATCAAGAAATGATTTTCTGTTGTAAAGCAATGGCAATTCTTGTCTTGATATCAGAAATAGGAATAAATGTTAAAACAGTTTGCCATAAATACGCAGCAATACGCAAGCCAAATATGCAAAGGTGTGACTGAGGCATTAGGGATGTATATTTTTTTTATACGATTGAAGGTGTGAAAGTGGGAATCGGGTGGAGTTTTTACATGAACTCTAATTAAGCCCATTCATGAATGTTCATGAGATTCATGGAGTGCGTTCAATTTCTTCTGTTTCACAGAAATATGGTATTTCTATTTTCCATTACAACTTTACCCTTCATATATTTTTTTCTTATAATCACTGTTTGAAAAAAATTCATATTGATTATAAACACTGTTCATGGATATTTTGTACCTGGATATATATGTATAAGTAATAATTAGATGGTACTTCACAATGAAGTCTGGATTATCGAAAGACTTTGAAAAGATTTAGAGAGCACGTTTAATTTTCCATATTTTATAGAACTATGTTATTTCTGCTAAGTTGCCCTTCAAATCCTACTCATTACACTTTTATATTGTTTTGATATTTTGAATGTGTAGCAGGGAGTGAAGTGGTGTATTCAAATTAAGTCCGAATTACTCATAACCTTTTATAGTAGTCAAACAATTCATTTCAATTAACTATGCACTTTCCATAAAACTCATCTTCCAGATTCATAAAAAATCTGTTTGTATGTCTGCAGAATTTTCAAGTGAAGTCTGAATTGCCCATGAGTGTTATCTAAAATCAAGGGTTAGGATGTGCTACTTTAAAGACCATCAATACTACTGGGCCAGAAGGGATTAGACCACACAGCGAGGTCACTGACAGGTGGCTATCTCATTAACTTAGCTCTCAACTAACATAAGAAAAAGAGGATCATGGGGGACCAACAGGCACCGATTGGGGAAGTTTTCTATATAGAGGGAGCAAGTAGCTACAAATAGGACAGTGGGGCTTTAAAGAGATTTGGATTTCTACGAACCATAACCACTTTCCCCATAGCCTCATCATTCTCCTTTAAGACGTGAATCTTGCGCATTATACATACATTCTTCACGTTGGTCAAATGATTACTTTAAATACATCAGTGGGATGGCTTTTCAAATGAATTACTTCTAAATTGTCATACCCATTCAAGTAATGAAATGCTACTTGGACAAGATTTGTGTTTCAACAAATGAAGCAATTTCCCCTATATACATAAATTTTGGTCACGTAGCTAGAGTAAAGACGCAAAAGGGAACAATAACGGCTTTTCACATGATGTCAAGTAAGTCACGAAGATCATTAAGATGTAGGCTGAGGACATTCAATTTTGAAGTAATTATGTTTCTTGGAACTATGCAACTTCATTATGGGCTGTCCTTTGTATGTGTTGGCCGGTGTTGTTTTATTAAAGATACAGATGACTCTTACTGACTATTACAATTATGTATGTATGTACTAGTGGGGAATAGAGCAGATTTTGACTTCAAAACAAGTTAACTTAATCGTAAGTGTACCAGTAATTAAGATTCAGAGAGAAAACATTTTGATTTGAAGGCGTTGACATTTAACATAGCTACACATAATCTCTATAAACACTATTATTCACATTGGGTTCCTCCCCTCCCCTCCCTTCCTCCCCTCCCTTCCTTCCTTCCCTCCCTCCCTCCCTCCCTCCCTCCCTCCCTCCCTCCCTCCCTCCCTCCCTCCCTCCCTCCCTCCCTCCCTCGATCCCTCCCTCCCTCCCTCCCTCCCTCCCTCCCTCCCTCCCTCCCTCCCTCCCTCCCTCCCTCCCTCCCTCCCTCCCTCCCTCCCTCCCTCCCTTTTCCTCCTTGCTTCTTCCTCCTCCTCCTCCTTTTTTCTTTTACTTCTCCTCATTAAATCCATACAAAGTAATTAATTTTGAGGATACTATTCAACATTCTGAAGGCTTAAACAAAGTATTCGTCCACAGTGTTTGGAACAAGGAAAACTAAACAGACACACGTCAGGCAAATTATTCGTTCACGATTCGAGAATTATCTCCACCAGCATGTTTACAAAATGCTATAAAAAATAAATGATATACAATGATCGCTGATCAT